TGCCCGCCGTGTTGCAGACATTGGTGAAATAGCGAAAAATGCAAGCAAGTTACGCCATTTTTCAATTGCAATGGATGAGTCGCTGGACAGCTGTTCCACCTCTCAACCGCTTGTGTTTATTAGAGGTGTGAATGAAGACACGAACATTACACAAGAGCTGGCTTCCCTACACAACATATATGCCACTTTTACCGGAGAGGATATATTCAATGAGTTATTAAAAAATGGTGATTATAACATGGACTGGACTAACCTCATCTGAATGTGGATGGAGAAAGTACATGAGTGGCATAAAGAAAGGCTTGGTTGGACAAGCGAATGAGAAAAATATTCTACAACCAGTGTTCCTGCACTGTATTATTCACCAACAAACTTTGTTTGCTAAATATATGAACATTAGCAGTGTACTGAATCCTGTGGTGAAGATGGTGAATTTAATAAATTCCACATAGATAGTTCAGAGACATGTTGAAAGATACAAACACAGAAACGCAGAATTTACCATATTATACAAGAGTAAGATGGCTAAATTGTTGGAAAGTTCTGAGCAGAGTATTTAAATTAAGCAAGGAAATAGGTGACTTACTGGAAAGTAAAGGCAAGCCACACCCATTAATGTCTGATAAACAGTGGGTATGGAAATTGACCTTTGCTGCATAACTAGTCATAACTAGTCATTTAAATTTTCTGAACCTAAAACTACAATGAAAGTAAAATCTAGTTTCTGTTCTATACACCAACATAAAGGCCTTCATATCCAAATTGGTCTTGATTTTGGAACAAGTACAGGCCAACAACTTGACGCACTTTCAGCAGTGCAAGGTCTTCATGGCTAAAGCAACAGCTGAGTCATTTGCTTGTGAAATCATCAAGGACCTCCAGATGCAGTTTCAGTGGCGGTTTTCTGACTAGGATTCAAAGGCAGAAGAAGTGAGATGGTTTCAAAACCCATTTGAAACAAATGTGGCCAGTTTCCCAGATGAACTGCAGCTGGAGGTCATTGAATTGCAAGCAAATGACCTCCTTAAAGACAAGTTTAAAGAAGGGCGGGTGGGTTTTTATAAGGTTTTTTAAATGTTTTTGCCAAAGAAAGACTTTCCTAATATTAAAACTTTTGCATCAAAGTACCTTTCAAATTTCGGAACGTTTTTAAGAATGAAATACGTAAACAACAATTTGAGAACAAAGTTGGACCTCGAATGTGTTGCCGGCCCCCGACAGTGTTTTTTTTTTCAGAAATGTGTATATATTTCTATATAAATTTACTTCGTTGGGGGGGGGGGGGGTGTAGACTTTCTTTGGGGGTGGGGGGGGGGGAGATTCGCAAACTCGAAGAAATTCCTCGAAGTAACTCTGGCCCCCGAACTGATGTTATATAGTTAATGCGGCCCTCGGGCTGAAAAGTTTGGAGACCCCTGGGCTAGACTGTGAGCAATATGCCTGTATGATTGCATTTAAATTGTGTCTATGTTATGAGTGTTGTGTTTGTTTTTTCGTTTTTTTTTTTTTTTGCGTTCGTTTGTGTTGTGTTTAGTTTTGTTCTGTTCCCAAGTTGGTACATTTAAAAAAGATTTACCGTGGCGGAGCACGGGATGCAGCTAGTCTATAATATAAGCGGGCTGTGTTTGTCCGTCCTTCCTTCCTTCTGTCATCGCTATAGCTTTTGAAACCATAAAAGTAAACATCGCACCATACTGTGCTTTTCAGTGCACCGCAGTGTCTTATACTTAATAGAGTAGGGTTTGTTTATATAACGACATAGAGCTATGTTATAATTGCCACTGTGTTTACTCTTTTGCATAACTTAAAGAACAACCCTCAGGACTAATGTATGAATAGGGTTGCTCACACGTGAGTGGCAGGCGATCGAACACGATCTCTACTGTCTAGCCTAGAACCCGTCAAGAAGGACGATGCCTATTGCCATGCTAAACATCTACGCTTTGCTGAAACAAAGCCTTGAGATCGGGTATCATGCGGTTGTCAGTGGGTTGTAGGGCAACTAATAAGGCGCTAATACACAAGTATGTGCTGAAATCTTGAACTCAGTCGACATGATGGTTGAGATCAACAGTCCTCACAAGCCGATGATGAAAACTAATACTAAAGCGAACACACAACCGACGCTGTAAATTACAAGTCTGAGGCGGGGAAAAAAAGACACTATTCAATAGTTATTTTAAAATAAAAAAAAAATACTAATAAACTATAGGTTTTGTCAAGGAAGTTGGGACAACAATGTGTGGTCGCCGTTTTTTAGGCTAACAATATATATATATATATATATATATATATATATATATATATATATATATATATATATATATATATATATATATAATATAAGCGGATAAGTATTGTGTCAGTCCTTCCTTCCTTCCTTCCTTCCTTCCGTCATCGCTATAGCTTTTGGAACCATAAAAGTAAACATTCGCACCACGCAGTGCTTTTCAGTGCACCGCAGTGTCTTATTATAAGTATTAGAGTAGGGTTTGTTTATATAACGGCATAGAGCTATTTTATAATTTCCACTGTTTGTACAATTTTGCATAACGTAAAGAGAATATTAAATACACGCACATTGCTAAAACATATTAAAAGGATCAATGTCAAATATCGTTTTCGTTAATATTCCTAGAAAAAGTGGATACATTTTAATAACATAATAACAGCACGGTAGAAAAATCAAATTAATTTAACTCTTTTCTAATTTTGACAAAGGAGGTAATTTAAAAATACATTAAACTCACGCTAATAAAAAATGTGAATGCAAATATACGTTCGTCATAGAAGGAATTAGTGTTGCAATAATATAATTAGCAAAATGTGAATGCAAATTATTCGGATGTGTAGGAGGAAATTATTGTTAGAAAATTATAATTAGCATGGATTGATAATAGGCAATCTTTTATTTATTTTATTCACTGAATGTAGGCCCTACTTATAATTTTTAATCAACTATTCAGCACTATTATAGACGCGTCATCACGTTCATTAGGTGCGCAATGGTTTTAGTTATGAAACTCTTTTGTAAATTTTTAAAATTTAAAGTACTGGAAAAAAAATGCGTGAATGGATAAAGTGAAATATTGTAGGTAAAACACGGATATTTTAAATATTGCCAATTATTTATACTGTTTTCTAATTATTATTCTATCTTTCGGGTTTTATAGGAGAGGCGTAGCGAGGGGGGGGGGGAGAGGGCATATGTCCCCGGGTGCCGACCTTAGGGGGCGCCAAAGTGGGTTGGAAAAAATGTGCGAGGGGAGGGGTCGGGGTGGTGGAAATTGAAAGTTTTAGGGAGGGGGGGGGGAAGGGGTGCAAATCGAAAGTTTGAGGGGGGGTGCAAATCACCGGAAAGGGCGCGATTTGGCGCTACGGGCTAGACTGTGAGCAATATGCCTTTATGATTGCATTTAAATTGTGTTTATGTTATGAGTTTTGAGTTTGTTTTTTCCTTTTTTTTGTTTTTTGCGTTCGTTTGTGTTGTGTTTAGTTTTGTTGTGTTCCCAAGTTGGTACATTTAAAAAAGATTTACCTTGGCGGAGCACGGGATGCAGCTAGTATATATATAAAATTTGAAGGTCTTAAATAGTTAAGTAAAGAAACTCATTATTATCTAGATCTAGATAGAGTTATCTAGATTCTACGACTGGTTTGGCTAAGCCGAGTTTTTGCCTTAACTCTAGATCTAGATAGATAAATCACCTGAATTCTTGAATTAGATAATCGGTGAAGCTAAAAAGCACATATTTATATCCAATATTTAAGGACTAAAATAGTTTAATAAACTCAATAATGTATTCTGATTTTAAAAGGCTTTTTAATTTTAAAAATTAATTTTGGTTTGACCTAGATTCTAGATCTATAAATAATAATAAATAACTCCCATCGACAGCTGATATTTAGATTCTAGATTTAGATGTCTAGAGAAATTTATTGTATACTAAAATAAAAAGAACTGTTGAGAATTATTAGTGTTGGAACGTAATAAAAAAAAAACGGGCATATCGTTAAAGCTATAGCCGACAGAAAATTAGCTTTATAATGAGTTAAAATTTCGAATGGGCAGCAAAATATTCAGTAGAAGCCGGCATTAATGTTGTAAAAAGTAATTATATCATGCACGTCACCATTCACTATAAGTAAAGTCATTGTTCTGAACTTTTATAATTAATGTGGTTAATTTACCAATGAATAAATCAATAAATTAATTAACGCCTTTAAATTAACTTGTGATTAACAGTCTGCCTAAAAAAGAAAATTATTCTCTATCTACATACTATTTTACAGCTCTACACATAGTGCAGATTCTCTCCTGTAACCAAACAGACAAACAAAATAAATAAATAAATACATATTCAAACATGTAAACAAACTTGAGTTTTAGTAGTATAGATTAGTTTTAGTATAGATAGATTGTATAACCTCACTGCAGCTACTGTTTGTATATACAAGTGTAAGATCCTATACTTATAAGTATAATATCCGATACCTGGAACTAGCACTTTATTTCCGATTTCCTAAAAATCTTAAGTATTTCTTTTCTTCTCTTTTTACCTCCACCTATGTTCTTGAAAACATAAGCTTTTTTGTCACTAATAAACCTATTCTGCTACATATTATAAATTTTGGGGGAGCTCTCCGGTTTTATCGCTTTTTTTTAATTGTATATTTCTTATTACTCAAGTTATATTTTTCAAGAAGAATTATAGGGTTAAAAAGAAAGGACAGGAAACATAACATCGTTCTAATATAATTCTCAAACATGCAAGAAGTACCAAAAATGTAGGCCTACATGGTATTTGAATGTTCTGTCTCCACAGAATATCATCACTAATTGGAGCCATGATACAGCGAGGATTTCTATTGATAATTGATATTACATTAAAAGTAACAACATTTAGTTTCTAAATGTTCTTAAATAAAAATTTAGTTTGAAATCGACATGAAACCGTATAATACTGTATTTGAATTGATATCTGATAATTTTTTTTCAGCCTAATGTAAAATCTAAAGAAGAACTTGAGACTGTTCACATGTTTGCACAAAACGAGCTCTCAAGACATTATTCCCACATTCGTCCTTATCGTAATCTGGAACAACAAGTAGAAAGTCTAACTGCTCGATTAAATACAGATATGGAACTTGTTCAATGTAAGAAGGTGCTTTCTGAGATAATATTTAAACTATATAGGCAGTTAGAATTTGATTATCTTCATAATATTAAATTTCTATGATAAATGCAAGTAATACATTAAAATGTGTACCCGCAGATATACATTTAAAGCTGAATGTATTTTTAATGTACAAATACTATTTATTAAATCGCTTAATAATACATTTAAGAAGCTACATTAACATAGAAATATATGTCACTGTCTTAATTTTGTATTAATTAAATTTTATTATTTTAATTTTTCAGTGGCACCAGATTTAGACAGTGCTTCTATGTCTGACATAGATATGTACTCCTGTAAACCGTTACCGATTAAAACTGCTGCAAAGCTTTTACACTCTCAGACACTCAAGGAGCTTCAACAGCCATGGTGGAAAACATTAGTTAAACAGGATTTTGAGGAATATTATGACAAAAAAGAGGAGGCAGAAGCTGAGGCTCACTTACAAACTTTGGGAATTTAATGTTTAGCAATTACCATTGTCTTGTTAGAGTAGTAAAAGACAAATTAATTACAAAAGAACTTACGGTCGTTAAGTCGATTGTTACCTCATATCTTTATCAAAATTTATATTGTGTATATAAATTATTATTAATAGATTTAATAGTTGCATGCCGCTATTTTTTTTTAAAATACACATTTTTGATAACTAATTCGCATATTGTGTAGATTGTTTGCGTATTATGTATGTTATAAAAAACATACACATTAGTGTGGTGTAAATGGTTGATAGTTAAAGTGTATTTAAGTTTAATCCCAAAAATTATTATCATAATTTGTTGACTTTAAATTTTACATTTGCTGTAATTAGTATAATTACAAAGTTTACACTGTAACCGTTACTCTTTTGCTCCTGATTACTCTAAAAGTTCGTTTCTAAATATATGCATGTTTTCGATAAAACAAACGTAACCCCGTTTAACACGTTTAATAATTCCAAAGACAAATGTATAATTTTTGACCCTACAAACCATGACTCACGCCTTCAAAATTAACAGTCATTTTATAACAAACGAAATTGTTTAGTATTGTTTTATTTTTTTTATTATTTTTAAACAGTTTGATGTAAATAAATAGTTTTAAAATTAATGGTTGTTTTTTTTAATGCCAACCACAAAAGCAACCCAATGAGAAAACCACGAGAAGTAAATACAACACAAAAATAATCGCTCTATATATATCTTAACCCATATCCTGCTAGCGTATTTTTAAGGGATGTTTGTAAAAAAAAAATGCTTTTAAATTAATTGAAAACTATTTAAAACACATATTATGTTTCATTGTATTTGGGAATAGCTAGACTAATGAATTTGTGTATACTGTGTAAAATTTTAATTTAGAAAAAAGTTATATCGCCGATTTTGGTTCACTTGTCAAAATGGTGGGGAAAAACATGCTAACAGGAAAGTGCATTTCTTCTTAAATATTGACATTTTAAGTTCAAAATACATTTGAAACTTGTATTTGTAGCAGTACTGTATTTCTATCTAATTAAAAAGTAGCAAAATTTAAAACTACTTCGCTTTATCGCGTACCAAAAGCGTCCCATAAGTAGGACGCTAGCAATAAACGGCCCCATGTAGATTGTTGCACAACCGTCACATACATGTTAAAAATATTTAAGTACTATTTATAGATATTTAATTATGACCTTTACCTATATATTTGTTATAAATTATTGTATAAAAATTGAAAATTTTAAATAAATTTTATTTCTCAGTTTTCAGAATTAACTGAATATATTAACTTAGTATTGCTGTTATTCCGTTAATTCCCCAGCACGAGATATTAAAATCATACGTGAAAAGATTTAGTCATTTGGTTCGACATCAACAACAGATGGAAATATTGTTCAATTGTCTTCTTATAAGGGAGCTCAAGCGGTGTACCCAGAGGCGTAGCGATGGGGGGCAGGGGGACATATGTCCCCGGGGACCGACCTTAAGGGGCGCCAAAATGGGTTGTAAAAACAAAGTAAAATGTCATTTTAGCTGCATTTTTGCAGTTTGAGGGGTGGGGTGCAAATAGAAAGTGAGGGAGGAAGTGGTGTGGAGGTGCAAATCAAAAAGTTGCTCCCGGGGGGGCGCCAAATTGAAAGTTTGTCCCCGGGCGCCGGGAAGGGTCGCTACGCCTCTGAGTGTACCGTTTTCATGCACTAATAATAGTCCCCACAAAAGGTTTCCCATACCTGTTTGCTAGATTTGGAGCTGTTTGGATAGTGAGGTGCATACATGCAGAGAAGGGGGCGCACCGGGTGACACCATTTAGGGGGTGACACCAACAATAGTAGAAAATCTCATAGAACCCTGCATGTTCAAGATGGTGAAATTAATTTTTGGGAACTCCAGTGAAGTTAAAATGCAACAATATCTGTCTAATAATGCTATGCAGCGGCATATAGCATATAGCAGACACGAATTTTGAATGAAATCCAACTTTCAACAGACGTGAGTTCGTGTTCGCAGTTGCTTGTCTTTGTGAAATATATTCATTCAATTATAGCAGAGTTGCTGTTTTGTGAAGATATAAAATAAATACGTTTTTTTTAACTGGATGATTAAAATGAGAAAACTGCTGTGGGGTTTATACAGATGGGACGACATGTTTGGGTCAAAATCAGGCTTTCAGAAAAAGTTGAGTTAAATCCCTACTGAAAGGGAATCCACTGCATGATTCACCGGAATGCCATCACAAGCAAGGCTCTTCCAACTCCATTGCTAATAAAAAGTCGTCAATTATTTTTAATCTGGAGCCCTAAACACCAGTCTGTTTCAAGAACTGTGCAAAGACATGAATAAAGATCACGAGGTTCTACACTTCAGTACGCTTGCTGTCAAAATGAATTGTTGTGATTCGTGTTTTTGAATTGAAAGTTGAGATCGTTGTTTTTGTTAGAACAAATGAGACAAGACATTTTGATATACTTTAACGACAAAGTGGTTCGAGTGAGTAGAATAAAAAAAGTGGTTTGAACGTTTGCTTATCTTTGCTAAGTTTAATTAATAAGGAGAAAGAGGACGCAGCTTTAGTAATTTGAAACAAAACATAAATATTTAGAAGAATTTTTGAAATTCGGCTGAATTAACATAACTGGAAATGTAATAGAGAAGAAACAAAGGGCAATATACAAAGTTGTACTCAGTCACGAATCTATGAAATCTTCAAAACTAAAACATCCTTTGAGACGAGTCATTCTGAACACACCAAAAAATATATGGAGTTCTTTCGTCGGTTAGAAGCTAGTTGCAAACGCCAGAGACTTGATCGAACAGGAAGTTTTCACCAGCATTATTGCAAGGCTGTCAAACGAAATGTTGTAAATTGTGTTTTTGAATTGAAATCTGAAATCAAATTGTTCTTGGAAGTGCAAATGAAACAAGACCTTTTGGTTTACTTAAAACGACAGAGTGGTTGGAGAGAGTATCATACCTGGCAGATATGTTTGAACATCAAGATAAGCTTCAGGGAGAATGAACGAATATTATAACTTTCCATGATAATCTCGGGGCATTTTTATCAAAGCTGCAAAATCGGTAAAGAAAATAAATCTTGGAAATATTGTAAATTTGAGAAACTCTGCGGTGTGGTAGATGAATCTGATTGAGAGATAATTAAAATTTTGAAAGAAGCGATTTCTAAGCATCTTGAATCTCTTGAAAACGAACTGCATCGCTATTTCTCTGAGCTAAAAAAAGAAGATTCTGCATTTACGTATTACCCATTCTCTTTTTCCCTTGCTGTTGCCAGCATTCCCGATGAATTACAAGATGAATTCTTTGATTTGCATAATGATTCCGAGTAAGCTGAAAAACTGTAGACACAATTTTGGTGTAGTATTCACCATTCATACCCTAACCTAAAATTGATTGAGTTTTCGAAAATATATTTTCAACACTATTTTTTGATTAAAAACAAAATTAAGATAATTATAATGACATAGGTTGGCGTTAACAAAATTTTTTAAAATTAAAAACTTAACCACGAAAGTTTAGTGAATAGCATGCATTTTTACTCATGCTATTAAAACAGTTATCAAGAGTAGTTTATATTGAAAGTCTACTAGAAAATCTTATTTTAGTGCTTATTAATTTCCATACTAATTTCGGCTTTTTTAATTCTATGGGGGACGCGGGTCACTTACTTTTTGTAAAAGGGGGTCGCCACTCGAAAAAGGTTGGGAACCACTGCTCTAAAGAGTATAAAAAGCATCATAGGAAATTCCACACCAATTCCACACCATAGGGTGTGGAATTGCTCCACACCTACTATTGAGAAAAATGTTTTCCTTTTCTAAAATTTACCGATAAATCTAGCTTCATTAATTGTTACTATTATCAAAAATGATTAAACGATTGGGCAAACGACTGTGACGTGAGAGCGAGCAAATTGTCCATGAGTGAAAAACAGATTTTGGAAGATACAGACATATCTTTTTGCACGTTTTGGCCTTGTGCTTTATTAATTGTCATGGCAAAGGCTAATCTAAAAGGGAATTGTTTGCGCATAAAAGTAAAAGACAAATTTGAATAAGGTTTGTGAGGTAGTAGCTGCGGAAAAGAATGTGACAGTAATGTTATAGGTGTTCCAATTGTCTCGTCTCCAACATCGAGAAGCCGAAATAATGTCAGGGACGTAGATAGTCGCTCTCATGAGCCTACCTCTCCCCCCCCCCCCCACCGATTACACTACCGAATAGGCGCCGCTTACGGTCGTGCTCATATGATAACCCAGAGTGCCAAATATCCTGTTAACAATGATGCAGATTGCGTCAGTCGCAAAATGAACAGGATTTTTTCTTTAATACGTAAAAAATTATTTGACGTGTTTAAAACCGTGCGGCGTCAAAACGGCCAATGAAAAAACGGCCCTGTCAAAACGACCCCTACAAATCAGCCCCGACATAAGAGCCCCGTCAAATTGAACCCGTCAAAAGGGCCAGCAACATATGGACCCCGTCATAAAGTCTCCCGATAAATAGGCTCCCGTCATTTAGGTTCCCGACAAATAGGCTCCCGTTATATAAGCTCCCGACAAAAGGGCTCCAGTCAATAAGGATCCTGACAAATAGGCTCCTGTCATTTTGGCTCCCGACATATTGGCTCCCGTCATTTCGTTTTTTCCACAAAACGGCCCCCGTCATTACGACTCCCGACAAATAGGCTAGCGTCATTTTGGCTCACGACAAAAAGGCTCCTGTAAATTTGGCTCCATACAAAAGAATCACTGACAATACCATTTCTGTAGAGACTAAGTCCCGGCAAAGCGGTCTCCTTGAATATGACACCTGCCAACTTATCCAACACTCTAAAGTAAAACAACGTATGCATCTCTTGTTCGGCAGGCCTTATTTTTATATTAGTTTATCTATTACAAAATATAGTATGTTTTAATTTAAGGGTCATCTATCTATGACTTTCATAATTTAGTCGGTTATAGGCTGCTCCAACTCAGTGTGTGGGTAGGAGGGTCTACGCTGTACCTTCCTACCTCCAGTATGCTTGTAGGTTATCAAAAACAAAATGTTATGCTGTAAACATCATGTATATTGTACATTTTCACTTATGTGCTCGATTTTATGTAACAGATCTTTACTGTTGTAAATTAAACATCAAAATTTTAGAATTGATAGATTTTAGCTGTTAAGGGCTGATTTGTTTGAGAATTGATGTTGGTTCATGAAAAAAATTTTTATTCAGGCATTAAAAAGAGGTTATAGAAGTAGTGGAGGTAGTACAAAATGGTTACTTTTATGCCAATAGTGGTCATACCATTCATTTGTCGGTAACCAATATATCGGGAGACCATTTGTCGGGAGCTAATATGTTGGGAGCCCATTTGTCGGTAGCCAGAATGTTTATGAGCCCATTTGTCGGGAGCCCATTTGTTGTGAGCCCTTATGTCGGGAGCCAATATGTCGAGAGTCCAATTGTCGGGAGCCTAAATGTCGCGAGTCAATATAACGGGAGCCCATTTGAAAGGAGCCAATAAGTCGGGGCCCTTGTGACGGGGCTATTTTGACTGGTTCGTTTTGTCGAGGATCGATTTGACGGGGTCATGTCCCGGGCCATTTTGACAGGGCACCGTTTTAAACATAGTGTGATTGATGCTATATGATAGCGTTAGTAATGGTCTATTCTTAGATGCTCGATCTCAATTTCTGTTTGGATTATCTAAAAATAGATGCTAATTGCATCATTCGCAAAGTGACTTAAATATTTGGATTTTTTTAACGGACAAAATGAATATCCAAAATAATAATTTAACCTTTATTATTTTTTCCGATTAAAATTACATGGCCCTCAGCGGCCCATGTGAGCCTTTGGGGGCCAAAACTGACATTTTTGTTTGCAGCCAAATTGCACCCTACCAGGGCGCCGGCGGACACGTCTGATTCAATTTAGTGAGCGTTTGTAACGCCCCATCCTATCCATTGTCTATCGCACTGTTTAGATCAAACGTAGTCGCCATAGCGCCGATTTTGGTTCACTTGTCAAAATGGTGGGGAAAAACATGCTAACAGGAAAGTGCATTTCTTCTTAAATATTGACATTTTAAGTTCAAAATACATTTGAAACTTGTATTTGTAGCAGTACTGTATTTCTATCTAATTAAAAAGTAGCAAAATTTAAAACTACTTCGCTTTATCGCGTACCAAAAGCGTCCCATAAGTAGGACGCTAGCAATAAACGGCCCCATGTAGATTGTTGCACAACCGTCACAT